GGGAAACTACATTGGGACCAAGTAGCACTGAATTGGTGACTTAGCAACAACACTGTCAAGGAACGCTACACTAAAAAAAAACAGCTCATAAGATTTACTTGAAAAATATATTGTAAGTATTTGCACTCAAATGATTTATGTAAAATTTAATGCTGCAATATCAAGTAACACTCACTTGCCAGTATCAAGTGAATTTTACTTTCCATTAAACATAACAGTTGCAATGATATTACGTAACATTTACTTAATTACATCCAAGTTGTAAGTTAGATTTATTTAAAAAAATTAAGTAAAGTGAACTAGCATTTTACTCAAAATTTTAAGTAAATGTTATATCCCTGTAGAATTTGCTGTTATGAAGTAATTTAAGTAGATATTAATTAGGGATACACGATATAATCGTCCCCCTATCGGTAACGGCCTGTATCGGCCTTAAAATTGAATATCGTACATCGGCCACCCCACCGATATTTAACCCGATATTTGATCAGCTTCTGAGTTTCTAAAGTATAAAAAAAAATTAAATACTACTTCTTCTTCTTCTTCTTCCTCAAAAACGTATTTTTTACAGACTTAAAAACTTCTAAAGACGAGGGAAAAAATATTGATACATTAAAATATCACAATATCTTCATATGCTGATATATTGCCATTTAAAAACACCATATCAATCTCTTTTACTAATGAAATATTGCTATATGTCATCGTTATGCTACGAAATCCCCCGAAAATTCACGTAATTTTGCCATATTTTTATATGTTGATATATTGACGCGATATCGATCTATTTTACTAACAAAATCTCACAAGAATTTGCAAAATATCACGAGAGTTTGTAACAGAACGATGAAATTTCACGAGAATTTCTCGAGTGGGGTTGCAAGGGGTGCTGGTGCCTATCTCCAGCAGTCAATGGGCGAGAGGCGGGCTACACCCTGGACAGGTCACCAGACACAGAGACACACAGGACAAATAACCATTCCTGCACACACTCACAAGACACTAAGGACAATTTAGAGAAGCCAATCAACCTAACAGTCATGTTTTTGGACTGTGGGAGGAAGCCGGAGTAACTGGAGAGAACGCAGGCATGCTCTGGGAGAACATGCAAACTCCATGCAGAAAGACCCCAGGCCAGGAATAGAACCCAGAACCTTCTTGCTGCAAGGCAGCAGTGCTACCCACTGCTCCAATGAGCAGTCCACATTTCATATACATTAAACTATTTTTTATTTTAAACAGTTTAACAAAGTAAATACACTATTGTTTTAAATTGTCCAATCTTTCATGGGCCAGCCAGAAATTTGACAGTCTAACTGGAATTGTACTATTCAAATAAGCATAATAAAAAAGTAAAACCCTCTAAAACTCAGTTTCAAGATTCATTACAGAAATTTACTCATGTAAGATCAAGAATATTTAACCTACACAAACATGCTCAAAATAACCTCTGGGCGAGGATCAGAACTGAAACAGCCATTTAAACTTTGAGCAGTGGAGTATAGATTATCTATGCCTCTATTTAAATGAAAAAAGCATGTACAAATATTGCATTATTATTAAGTGCATTTTGTTGTGCTGCATTAGAATTTGTACAGAAAAAAGAGAAGTTTGGTATGTCTTGTAAACAACAAATACACAGTATTATATATACACCAGCACAGGTCTGGTAATTAAAAAAAATTTATTAATAAAAGAACACCTTGTTTTCCCTTCACTTTTTTTTTGGCTTATCACATTAAATCCCCGTGAAACACACTGAGGTTTGTCGTTCTATTGTGACAAAATGTGTACTAATCTGACTCTTCATCTTGCAATAAATATCCCATCATAAACCTTGGGCAAAGTTCTCCACAGACTAGGATGCATTTTAATTTAACTGCAAATCTGCTCACTGTTATGCATTTGGAGATGTGGGCAATTTCGACAATGAACCAAAATCATTCTAACCATTCTCAATGAACATAAAAATCTCTACTAAATATTTGAACATATTATTTTTTGCTAAATAACATACAACATTGTTTGGGGAAAAAAATAAAACATTAATGACAATGCAACCTTGCACTAACATTAACTGGAACCCACTTCTAATTCTTGGCATTTGATGCCACATTTGCCTCCTCTAAGATGAAAGCAACTTTGACTTCAAGTTGTTTACTTTTGCTGATAGTTTGAATCCATCCAACTCCAGGAAATGTTTTTGGAACACTTCAAAAGTGTAGCGCAAAGGGAGAGGGTATGCCAAGTTCAGCGCATATATTAGTCACATAAGCAGCGAGCAGGCTTTTGCAGTACTGCGGCATGGTGGTAAAATCTCCTGGCCTTCAACAAGGATGGAAACATTAGCAGGATCCTCATAAGCACCATGGAGAACAACAATCTTGAGGATATGTTTGTTGAAGTCACACCGGTTGTCCTCCTGCATGTAATGCACAAGAGAAAATAATGTTTATTCTTTTATTTAAGAAACAAATACAAGAGCTGCATGAATCAAAGTAACTTATTTATCATGGAAGAATGAACACAAGAATACCTCTGTTTGTTTCACTACTTTCTTCTTAACTTGAACATTTAAAGGGACATTTTGTAACATCTACTGTTAAAACGGTAAAAAAAAAATAGCGTTTGTGCTGTTTCTGAGATATTACCAATTTTAATTTCGGCCGGTGACGTCATCACAGCCCGCCACTTCAAAATATAGCGCTATCCGGAGCGCTACGATAGCCGACGTATAACTAACTTGCCTGCATAAGATAACGAAAAAAACAACACAGATTTTAAGACAGGATTTTTTTTTTTTTATTGAAGTTTTCTGACTTTAGTGACAATATCGTCTGATAAAGAGTACATTTATATACATGTTTAAGCCAGAATGATTTGACATTTAAACATGACTTCCCTACGACTTTAAATGCAATGACTGTAGGCTATGGTTGTAAAACAGAAAAAAAAAATCATAAGCTCAATGCCACATAATGTGGCGATAGTCTACCTTTTCAATTTGTATTTCCTCTAAACTCGTGCAGCAGTGATGAGTTGTTTGTCTTTGAGTGCTGCAGAGTAAAACTATGATTAAGACAGTTCATAATTGAGGCTGACAATGAGCTCAGCTTTAATTAATTCAGTGGAACATTTGTTCAGCACATCAGTCCATTTGCTCTTTATTAAGGCGAGAATCCTCTCCACAAAACCAGTGGAAGATGGGATGCTGAGAACAAAGGACCAGGCAGCTTGGATGTTGGGAAGTTCAGCTGCCTGAAGAACCTCCATCCACCTCTCTGCTGTTCCTTTGGACTGCTAGGATTCCTTTTCCTGCAGCAACAGCATTTAAATTACTCTGTTTGTCCCCCATACTGCTCTGTTGTCGTCCTCTCCTGAGCAACACTTGCCTCGACCAATAGGATGAGGGTATTCTGGATCTTTATGTTGTCAGCTCATTGGTCAAAACGCAGAACAGGGCCCGGGAACAAGTTTATTGTAAGTTTTGTATCTAATGTGCCCTTTCTTAATTTTCCATTAGCTTTTTACTGACTATTTTTTTTACTCTCACAGTAACACGGGACAAAGTGCGTTCCTTTTCCACTAAGTAAGGGAAAGGTACTTCTATTTCTAAATACGGAAGGATTCCGTCAGCTCTCTGATAGTAGTACCTGCTTTGTTTCACTTGTCTCCAACAGAAAATGGCAAGTAAAGCCACTGAAACTCCAAAGGCCAACCCTGCAAAAATTAGTCCTGCAGAGAGAAAGCAACAGATGTTAAAAACATGACTGGATTTGATGAGGCCATTCTTTATCATTAATTATAAAACATGTTGTGGTTTAAGCCAAAACATTCTAGTATCATCTTGCAATTAAAGCCGGGCATACACTTTGCAATTTTTTTTCAATCGTTGCATGCAGCTGTTGCTCACACTGTACGATTAACCGCAGGGTTTAGTCGTACAGTGTGAGATCACGATTTATGTAGGGCCCGACGCTCTGATGCGATCTACCTGCTCACACTGTGCGACTAAAAAACCACGTTGGACTCAGCTCCGCAGTGAGATGGAGCTGCTCTCGAGCTCTCTATCCTGAAGCCAAACAAATAGAAGAAAAGAACAGGGATATTAAGTTCACTATAGTGAACCGCACTGCCTTGTCAATTTATGCAATTTTGTGCTGAAAGTCCTAAAAAGAAAAGGCGACAAAGCGTTTCACTGTTTTTACATCTGAGAGGAAGAATAAAAAGAAGAATCTTTCTTTGCGCCCAGAGCGATTTGGCCACGACGGACGGGAGAAAATCTAACATGTTTGATATTCTCCCAACCTCACGATTCCTGATCAGGAGGCGGTCGTGAAAGTCCGCTCGATCGGAAAATTCTTGCACAACTGGAAAATCGCACAGTGTATGCCGGGCTTAAGGTTATTCATCCTCCCATCAACTCTGACTAGCTTTGAATCATCGCTGTTAAAAATGATCCCTACAGCATGATGCTGCCACCACCCACATGCTGTCTGCGTCCCTACATGGTCTGTAGGAAACTAAAAACCAAGCATCTTAAATATTTCTTTAAACAATGTTTTCAGACATTTCGACCACAACTTTGAACCAGTTTGAGTTTGTTTGCCATAAAAACCTTTAAGTTATAGTTATCAAGTGAGGAAATGTAAAAACAAAACAAAAACCAACAAAAAAAAAAAAAAACTACAGGGAGTCTGAGTCTGAGAATATTCTAACTTTCAAAACATGTTCCTTTAACTCCAGGAACGGTGATCAGCTTCTCTCTGGGAGCAGCAGAGAGCACTGACACTGAACATCCAACCTGTGTGCTGCTGAAAGCTGACAGCAGAGCTGTGGTGGTGACGGTGACTGTACCGTTGCTGTGGGTCACACTGCTGCTGTTGTAGTGGGAGAAGCTGAGGTTCTGCTGTAGAACAGTCAGTGTTACAGTGGGAGCAGGTCGACCTGTGGCTGAACAGGACACAACTGACTCTGCAGGAGACTTTGATCTTCTGAAATCATTGATGATTAACCATCACCTTCAGGTGCTCCACAGCATGTCTCCTTTCCTCACCACAGAGTCTGAGGCAGGTCCTGCCTATCAGGATTCCTCCAGGATAGGTGTTAAACAGACATTGGTAGCAGCCTTCATCCTCCTCCATCACCTTCCTGATCACCATGGAGCAGCTCTGAAGATCTTCATGCTGAAAATCCATCTTCTCTATCAGACCAACTCTCAGGCTGTAACCATATTTCTTGGTGTAGGTGGCCAGATTCTTCTGTTCATCATGGCGGACTTTCTGCCAGGTGATCTGGAGAACATCTTTATCCTCAGTGAGCTGACAGCTTAGAGAGGCTTGATCACCCACTGCTGCCCACACAGTCTCCTCTGTTTCTATTGGGGCCAAATAAGCTAAAACAACTATTTTCAGACTACAAATATTATTAAAACAGCATAAACCAACAATCTCTTCAATGAGCATAGCGATATAATATCTAATTATTGCAATTTTATTAATTAACTTAAAGTCAAACCTTTCCCTCTAATGATATGGTTTACAGACAACAATAATAATGAAAAAAATATTTAATCTTGTAAAAGTATTGACAACATCTGGACTTCAACTCACATTTTGATCCATTCAAATCACAAGTTGATATATTTTACTTTAATTTTAAGAGACAGACCAACACAAAGTAGTGCACTGTCATGGATATGCACTTATAGTAAATAATAAGCTGCAGATATAAACAACCCTGAATGTACCATCACCATAGGTTCAGCTTTCATCACACATCTATTGACTGGATATCTGAGGAATACTTGCTGCTCTTGACATTAGTTTGAGGTTAACTGTAGTTGTCTTGTTTCTCTTTGCTGTTGTTTTGTTCTGTTTTCTTTCCCTCTCATCCTACGAAAGTGTTGAAGCAGACTTCTATGTCACTCCTGTGTTGTTTATTTTACTGTTTAGTTTTTGCTCTTTTCTCTCATCCCTCTCTTCCATCTCTTTCTCTTCTTAAGTCACTCCCTTTCCATCTTTGTGTCATCTAAATAATATTTTATTCCAATTTTATGTAAAAGTATGCAGCAGAATCGTATGGCAACCGCCATAATGGTCAGCTTGTGACATAAAATATTGGGCTATTATCTAGCTATGGGACATTGATTCCCTGAGTCATGATGTCAAAACAGGACACTCAAAAAAAACAACTAAAATTTAAAACTGTGGTTTCCGATGTTACGAGTCTAACTGGATAAAACTTTAGTTGCTTCAAATTTAATTTGCAAGTCCTGCTGAAAGTCCTGTTTTTTGGGTTTTTTTTTTTGTTAATAACTAATAAAAACAATTTAGTCACCTTTTATGCCTGAATTTGTTTCTTATAATTAAAACCTGCTGTGTCTTTACCAACATTTCACATTTTTTGGGGGGGAAATTTTTGACTTATTTTCAGTCACGCACATGTACCTGACCATAACAACAACAAGCTCCTGCAATAGTAGCTCTATTAGAAAGTGGAAAAGTTGAGTAAAATACATATAATTTAAAAGAGAAAAAGTTACATTAAACCAACCAAAAATTATTATCTTGTAACAGGATATTTAATAAAGAAAGAAAAAACATTTTGGAGCAGAAACCAGTCACTATTCTCTTCCAGCTATTTACATTTTTCAGAAAAGTTTGAGACAAGTTATTCTTTGCATTTTCTCTCAGCTTTTATCATAAAAGTGGTACGGATTCTTCCTATTATACCCCAAGTTTTACTACTGTTCAGGTTGTGTTAAATCTGCCAACAATGCATCTACTAAGCAATCTATTTATAGTCTTCCATGAGGGAACATTATTTATTGACATTGATCATTCATTTCTTCTAGGTCACTTTTAAAGTATTTATATCCAACTTCCTCTAAATACAAAAACAGTAATTGTAGTTAACTAATATTCAATTATTAATATCAGTTAGTATCACACCAATGATCAACATTAGTATGAAATTGTATAAAAATAACGCATCAACAAATTAAATCAACTTTATTTCAAAATGAAGTAAAAGCTATACATACAAAAAGACAAATTATTTATAAAGAAAATCTACAAACCCTATATTTTAGGTGGAATTGAAAACAAATGTCTTTGCAAAATTCCAAATGTATTAAAGCAACAAGATTTTTACTTTTAAAAAAGGACAAAGTTGTTCATTACTTTTAAACTGTTTTCAATTGGAATAAATGCAAATTTGTAAACTTAAGGGTTAAAGAAATAAATCAACTAAAACCAGCATTGCAATTAAGATTATTATAAATTATTTCATCATAACCTCACAATAGTTTTTCATGTTCCTCATCCTTTGACCTCAGGTCGGCTGCTTCATCTCTTCCACTACAGACTGGTAGGTTAGTTTGTTCAGACCATCCTGCTGGTTTTACTCCTGACTGCTGCAGTCTCCATCTTAGTCTCACTATGGTTTCTATACGTATGCATACTACCGGAAATTCCTCAGCACTGAAAAATAAAAGAAACAATACATTTTTTTGTTGAAAGTTACCGGTATGTTATATAAAAAAAATTTAAACTCTAAAAGTTGCACAGTAAGTAAAATCTGATGAACACAGAGAAGAAGAAGCTGCATTGACAAGTTAATGATTTAAAATTGTTCTAGAATTAAAATAAAAGGACTAAATATACAAAAGGGAGGCAAGAAGTAAAGGTAGAGAGAAAGGAGAGTATTACTATGAATGAAAAACAAAGATTAAAATGACAAACTGATCATTCAGCTCCACATGAGTCTGTCAGAGTTCCTCACCATCATCAGATGTTCCTTTATCTCCAGGAACGGTGATCATCATCTCTCTGGGAGCAGCAGAGAGCACTGACACTGAACATCCAACCTGTGTGCTGCTGAAAGCTGACAGCAGAGCTGTGGTGGTGACGGTGACTGTACCGTTGCTGTGGGTCACACTGCTGCTGTTGTAGTGGGAGAAGCTGAGGTTCTGCTGTAGAACAGTCAGTGTTACAGTGGGAGCAGGTCGACCTGTGGCTGAACAGGACACAACTGACTCTGCAGAAACATTTAATCTGTTGACATCAAGGATGGGTTCATGCAGCTCTGGGAGGAGAACAAACATCATTTTGATAAGTAAAATTAAACTTTTTTACCTTTGCAGCATGTCACCTTTCCTCACCATAGAGTCTGAGGCAGGTCCTGCCTATCAGGATTCCTCCAGGATAGGTGTTAAACAGACATTGGTAGCAGCCTTCATCCTCCTCCATCACCTTCCTGATCACCATGGAGCAGCTCTGAAGTTCTTCACACTGAAAATCCATCTTCTCTATCAGTTCAACTCTCACTCTGTAACCATATTCTTTTGTATAGGAGGCAAGACTCTTCTGTTCATCATGGCGGACTTTCTGCCAGGTGATCTGGAGGACATCTTTATCCTCAGTGAGCTGACAGCTTAGAGAGGCTTGATCACCTACTGCTGCCCACACAGTCTCCTCTGTTTCTATTAGAGCCAAGTGACCTGCATTAAACATATGGTGAGAAATAAAGCTTTAACAGATATTAGTTATTGCAATTTCCTGAAAAGACTTTCAGGAAGAAGCAGCTTCACAAAATGGACTAATCAGTTGGGCTTCTGAGATTTTAACTGGTGCACAAAAATTAATCTCCATCAATAAATTGGAGACATGTATTGCTGATCACAATCTGATACTTAGAACATTACTGAGCCCAGATTTTGTTGAATCTTATTAAGTTTAATTTTTCATAAAGTTAATAGAACATTGAGTTATGTTTCGCATGATGCTTATTCTGTTTGAATAAAAATGAACCAAAAATGATTTAAAGATGAATACAGCAAATGTACCAGCTGGGTTTTTACTTCCAGAAGCTGGTAAGATATAGAATCATCACCTAAGATGAAATGTTTACTGCTTTGAAATGAGGTCAAAGGTAACAGAGAGGAAGCTGCTAAAATATAGTTTAACACTCCTTTTTTTGAGACTTCTATGATTTGATAAAACTGAACCTAAAGTATCCCTATGAATCACTTAGAAAGTGTCTTTAGGATAGTAAACTTAATATTTTGAAGTGATCATTAAATTAACCCTTTATAGAGAAATCAGTGAAATCCTTTGAAAATCAAAATTTCAAGCCAATAATTTCATTGGAATCCAGGAAAAGACCTTATTACCTCTGTAACATTCAAAACATATGGATGGCAAAAATGAACGTCATTGTAATAACAAGAAATGCCAACTTGCCCGAAAAGAAAAAACATAAAAATAACAAAAGTTCTTCTATAAGAAATTAATGAAAAACACTCTGAAAGGGAAAGAAACACATTTTTTTTGGTCCAATATAACCTGAGAGGCATTAATGCTAAACTGGTACCTGCATTTTTTAGTTTTAAAATCTAAATATAATTACTAACAAGGCACATTAACTTTTTAACTTTACTTTTAACTTTTCAATCAGCTTTTTGCCTTTTTTTTCAACAACTTAATTTCCGGTAGGAAATACGGTATATCATTCAAGGGTTCATCTAATTGGTCAAATGCCAAAATAATATGTACAGCCATGAAGCAGGATCTTTGCTGAATTGCTGGATCTTGTGCTTCTAGACCTCACTGAGGGGCGGGGGGGACTCCATTTGTAAGGGATATGCAAGTGAACAAAACACTAACTTGCCCTATAAAGGGTTAAAGAACAAAATCATTGCGTTAGCAAAGCTGCCTGAGGAGAAACCAGTTAGACCAGTTCTTCAACACACCAGGAAGGAAGCTGAAGAAAGAAAGAAAAGCTCTAAAGTGTGACTACAGTAGAAAAAAAACACACCAAAAAAAATGAGCATAGTGTTGGTAAACTTTTTCAAAAGCTGTTAAATAATATGCATTAAACATCAATGCAAAAAAGACAAAGGGAACAAATTATGGCTAAAAACAAGGAGTTAGTAAATGCTGTCATTATAGGACACTTTTGTTTAGTGAGCAAACAGCCTTCCTTATAAATCATCCAGTTAATGTATATCAACACATATTTTCTCAAATCTTATGTAGCATCTAAACCACTGCATACTGTAGATATATAGAAATGAATGACCAAAAATAGAAGAGAACTTCTAGCAATAGTAAAAAATGTCTACTTCAGTCAATCAAGACAAATCAACTCTCACCTGTCTGAAGGATGATGTTTACTAAAAAACATCTGATTATAACAGCAGGTCGCATTTGGCTGTTTTTTAACACCCAGCCATGTTTCCTGTCCTGCATGCATCCATGCACTGAAGCTCAGACAGGGGAGGTTTCTGCTCAGTGGTGATGTCACTAGTCACTTAAAACGCCTTCGGAGGCCCGACAGGTGTGGGAGGGGTTAACAATTCTACATCAGGGTTAATCTCTATTTAAAAAAAAAATCAGATTAATAATTATTATTTATCAGCCACCGATTTTAAAGAAAACATCCTGACACTGTTTGATTTTGACATTAACCAAGAATAAAAGCAGCATTAAAATATTAACCATATCTTACTTTTGGTATATGAGTTATAAAGCTCACAGATTTAACGTACCATAAAGATGATCCAAAGTCTAAATTTTAAGTTTCAAGCATCTGTAAGAATAATTTGGTTGGTGGAATTTGTGAGTAATCAAAATATAACACAGAAGTGTTTGTCATTCATACAGTTCATTAAAATAAAACAGGAATAGCTCGATGGAAAACCAAAAAAATATGTTAAAAGTATTCACACCCCCGTATGATTTTTCACACCAGATTTACAAAAGTTTGTGCACTTCATTGGGACTTTATGTGAAAGAGCAATGTGATATAGCACGTCTATACAACTTTGAAATGGAAGAAAATGTTCAGTTTTCAATATTTTTTTTTTAGTATAACATTTCTGAAAAGTGTGGCAGGCTCCTAAAATCATGTAATGAACTGTTGATCATTGATAAGAGGATTCCTTTTTATCTGAGAAATAAATGCACACTGAAAAAAATAATGCAACCGTTTTTTTTGGGGCATCTACTTAATCATATTTAGATATTTTAAATTGTTTTTCCTACCCTGCTAACATGAAAATATTGTGTTTAAAATAGAATTAGTTTAGCACATAAATAACGTTTGCTTAGATTTCAAGACCTTTTTTGCTTGTGATACAGCATAAATACTGGTTTGTTAGGGTAAGTCTTTGTCTCCTTCGTTTACCTCTTTAATTACACAGGGTGTTTTGCATCTCTAAAAATATAAATTGTATAATAGGTAAAACATCTCATTATTGATACCTATGAATAATAAACATTGTTAAAAATCACAAAAAAAACAAATCTGACTTAAGTCTGTCTTTTTCACTTCTCCAATAGCAGATAGTTGTCCAAATATGCTACTATAAGAGCTTTGTGGATGCTGTTTAAGATACGATTCATTAAACTAATCTTCCACTGAATGCTTGAAATGTGGCAAATATCCACAAGCTGAGAGATCTCCTTTAGCTCCACACATCTAGGTGACTATAGGTCTGCATTAATATAGACTCACTGGAAGTTGGCGTTGGATGTAATGGCAGCCTAATGGCAAAGGAAACACATGCATTCAAAAGTGGTTTGCTGCATCTTTCTCACACTGACAGAAAACCACAAGTTAGTAAAAAGAAGATATATGTCATGCTATAAGGAAATTTCCTCTTTGAAACAGTCTTGAATATATAAAATTATTTTAGGAAAGGGGCAAATGTTTCATTCCATGTCCACCTACACCCCAGAGCTATGGTAATATACATGGGGTGTCACTTTGTGGCCATTTCCAGTGGAAGGAGGAGGGCGTCCCATTGTCATTTAAGGTTGAAGGTAACTTTATTGATACCTGCAGGTAAATATATTTTGCAGTTTGGAAAACGGGCATCTCAACTCTTAAATTAAATAAACTATAAAAAACTCAGAACACATACTGAAGACAAGTTAATTTAGTACAACCAGACTTTAATAGGTACACCCAGCGCCTCACTGAACATTGCTAAAAGAAAAATGAATAAATAAATACACCTGTTTAATATTCCTAACATGACTGTATTAAATTATTAAAAGCATACAAAGAGACAAGAGAGTTTGACCAAACATTGGAGATGGAAAGAAATAAGTGGGTGAAAGCGCATTAAGATTTATTTAAAAGAGAACCAGCTACAGGAACCAAACTATTCCTGTAGTGAGCATCAAGCATGTGTGAAACAACTACGAAAAACATCATCAGTCAAGCTCCGATTCAATGAGTTACCATGACAACAGGCAAGTAGATGTCTACAGTACCTATTTCACACCACTGGAACTAGAGGTGTTTTACATTTTGCTTTGGTTTGGAATAAATACATATTTGTAAACCGACTAAATCCAGCATCTCATTGAGATGATTAGAAATTATTTTATCATAACCTCACAATAGTTTTTCATGTTCCACATCCTTTGATCTCAGGTTGGCTGCTTCATCTCTTCCACTACAGACTGGTGGGTTAGTTTGTTCAGACCATCCGCTGGTTTTACTCCTGGCTGCTGCCGTCTCCTTCGTGGTCCCACCATGGTTTCTATACCTGTGGGTACTATTGAAGGTTCCTCAACACTGAAAAATAAAAGAAACAATAACTTTTTTGTTGAAAGTTAAGTTGTATAAAAACATTAAGCTCTAAAAGTTGCACAGTAAGATAAATCTGATGAACACATCAGAGAAGAAGAAGCTGCATTGACAAGTGAATGATTTAAAGTTTTCTAGATTTAAATTTAAAGGACTAAATATACAAAAAGGAGGCAAGAAGTAAAGGTAGAGGTAGGAGAAAGGAGAATATTACAATGAATGAAGAGCAAAGTAAAGAAGGTCTTACAATGGTTTGCTCCATGTATGTTCATGTAGCGGGATCAATGTATCTTCAAATAACCTGTTCAATGCATCTGCAGATGGTGTGTTCAATGAATCTTCACATGGCTTTTTCACTGGATCTTTCACTTCCGTGTCCAATGCATCTTCTAGTACAATGTCTGATGCAACTTTAATCCCCCTGTGAAATTAAAAAGTATATATCAATAATCCACAAACAATAATCTGCTGAGTTGAACATCCAGGTGACAATTCAGACACTGTGTGAAAGAAATACCTTTTTTCTGCCCTTTTTGTGAACCATAAAATGATGAGAAAAGCAACAATGCAAACCATGGATCCACTGATTATACACCATGCTATGGAGAAACAGGAAAAAATGCTGATATGATCAACTAAAGAGAATAAAATAAAACTGGAAACTCCTGAACATGAAACTTACCAACAGCACTGTTATTTGAAGCAGATTCTACATCAAAACCTGAAGAAAAAAACTCAGAGATTAAAATTAAAAACTGATCATTCAGCTCCACATGAAAGTCTGTCAGAGTTCCTCACCATCATCAGATGTTTCTTTAACTCCAGGAACGGTGATCAGCTTCTCTCTGGGAGCAGCAGAGAGCACTGACACTGAACATCCAACCTGTGTGCTGCTGAAAGCTGACAGCAGAGCTGTGGTGGTGACGGTGACTGTACCGTTGCTGTGGGTCACACTGCTGCTGTTGTAGTGGGAGAAGCTGAGGTTCTGCTGTAGAACAGTCAGTGTTACAGTGGGAGCAGGTCGACCTGTGGCTGAACAGGACACAACTGACTCTGCAGGAGACTTTGATCTGCTGACATCAAGGACGGGTTCATGCAGCTCTGAGAGGAGAATAAACATCATTTTGATGAGTAATATTAAACTTTTTTACCTTTGCAGCCTGTCTCCTTTCCTCACCATAGAGTCTGAGGCAGGTCCTGCCTATCAGGATTCCTCCAGGATAGGTGTTAAACAGACATTGGTAGCAGCCTTCATCCTCCTCCATGACCTTCCTGATCACCATGGAGCAGCTCTGAAGATCTTCACAGAGAAAATCCATCTTGTCCTTCAGGTCAGGTCTTACTCTGTACCCATAGTCCTTTGCATAGGAGGCAAGACTCTTCTGTTCATCATGGCGGACTTTCTGCCAGGTGATCCTTAGAAATTCTTTATCCTCAGTGAGCTGACAGCTTAGAGAGGCTTGATCACCCACTGCTGCCCACACAGTCTCCTCTGTTTCTATTAGAGCCAACTGACCTGGAGGACACATATGGGGAGAAATAAAGTTTTAACAGATATTAGTTATTGGAAATTCCTGAAAAACCTTTCAGGAAGAAACAGCTTCACAATCCGGACCAATCAGTTGGGCTGTTGAGATTTTAACTGGTGCACAAAACTTAATCTCCATCAATAAATTGGAGACATGTATTTCTGATCACAATCTGATACTTAGAACATTACTGACCACAGATTTTGGTGAATCTTATTACGTTTAATTTGTCATAAAAGTTATAGAACCTTGAGTCATGATGCTGATTCTGTTTGAATGAAAATCCCAAACTCAAAATGATTTAAAGATGAATACAGCAAATGTACCAGCTGGATTTTTACTTCCAGAAGCTGGTAAGATATAGAATCATCACCTAAGATGAAATGTTTACTGCTTTGAAATGAGGTCAAAGGTAACAGAGAGGAAGCTGCTAAAATATAGTTTAACACTCCTTTTTTTGAGACTTCTATGATTTGATAAAACTGAACCTAAAGTATCCCTATGAATCACTTACAAGTGTCTTTAGGATAGTAAACTTAATATTTTGAAGTGATCATTAAATTAACCCTTTATAGAGAAATCAGTGAAATCCTTTGAAAATCAAAATTTCAAGCCAATAATTTCATTGGAATCCAGGAAAAGACCTTATTACCTCTGTAACATTCAAAACATATGGATGGCAAAAATGAACGTCATTGTAATAACAAGAAATGCCAACTTGCCCGAAAAGAAAAAACATAAAAATAACAAAAGTTCTTCTATAAGAAATTAATGAAAAACACTCTGAAAGGGAAAGAAACACATTTTTTTTGGTCCAATATAACCTGAGAGGCATTAATGCTAAACTGGTACCTGCATGTTTTAGTTTTAAAATCTAAATATAATTACTAACAAGGCGCATTAACTTTTTAACTTTACTTTTAACTTTTCAATCAGCTTTTTGCCTTTTTTTTCAACAACTTAATTTCCGGTAGGAAATACGGTATATCATTCAAGGGTTCAAACAAAACACTAACTTGCCCTATAAAGGGTTAAAGAACAAAATGAGTGCGTTAGCAAAGCTGCCTGAGGAGAAACCAGTTAGACCAGTTCTTCAACACACCAGGAAGGAAGCTGAAGAAAGAAAGAAAAGCTCTAAAGTGTGACTACAGTAGAAAAAAACCACACCAAAAAATGAGCGTAGTGTTGGTAAACTTTTTCAAAAGCTGTTAAATAATATTCATTAAACATCAATGCAAAAAAGACAAAGGGAACAAATTATGGTTAAAAATAAGGAGTTAGTAAATGCAGTCATTATAGGACGTTTTTGTTTAGTGAGCAAACAGCCTTCCTTATAAATCACCCAGTTAATGTATATCAACACATATTTTCTCAAATCTTATGTAGCATCTAAACCACTGCATACTGTAGATATATAGAAATGAATGACCAAAAATAGAAGAGAACTTCTAACAATAGTAAAAAATGATTACTTCAGTCAATCAAGACAAATCAACTCTCACCTGTCTGAAGGATGATGTTTACTAAAAAACAGCTGATTATAACAGCAGGTCGCATTTGGCTGTTTTTTAACACCCAGCCATGTTTCCTGTCCTGCATGCATCCATGCACTGAAGCTCAGACAGGGGAGGTTTCTGCTCAGTGGTGATGTCACTAGTCACTTAAAACGCCTTCGGAGGCCCGACAGGTGTGGGAGGGGTTAACAATTCTACATCAGGGTTAATCTCTATTTAAAAAAAAAATCTGATTAATACTTATTATTTATCAGCCACCGATTTTAAAGAAAACATCCTGACACTGTTTGATTTTGACATTAACCAAGAATAAAAGCAGCATTAAACTATTAACCATATCTTACTTTTGGTATATGAGTTATAAAGCTCACAGATTTAACGTACAATAAAGATGATCCAAAGTTCAAATTTTAAGTTTCAAGCATCTGTAAGAATAATTTGGTTGGTGGAGTTTGTGAGTAATCAAAATATAACACAGAAGTGTTTGTCATTCATACAGTTCATTAAAATAAAACAGGAAGAACTCGATGGAAAACCCAAAAAATATGTTAAAAGTATTCACACCCCCGTATGATTTTCCACACCAGATTTACAAAAGTTTGTGTACTTCATTGGGACTTTATGTGAAAGACCAATGTGAAATAGTAGGTCTATACAACTTTGAAATTGTTGGGATCCAGAGGCTTGCCCTCCAGAGGGCGCCGAGGATCCCTTCCTGTTTTTATGTTTTTTCTGCTGGGATCTGGGGTACTGTTGGAATCTGGAGATCTGTCACCTGTCTCCAGCAGAGAGCGCTATGGGTCTCCTGAGCTTGAGCCTCCTGCACACCTGAGGATCATCAGCCCATCAGGAGACCTCCTACATAAGCAGCAGCCAGACCTGTCTTCAGCGCCGGAGTGTTGACCAGTTTTGGTTAGCAGAACCTGAGCCTCAGCTTGATTTAAGAATCTCTGCCTGCCCTAGGGAGCAACCTGATCCTAACCAGTCTCTGTCTTCTCTGCTCTTAGGTAACCTGATCGAAGTCTGTTGCTCTGGAGGAGCTCATGTCTGGAAACCTGCCTGCCTGCTCAGAGAAGCCAAACCTGAAGATCCTCAGTCTGAATCTCCAAGTTAGTTCTCAAGGGAGAACTAGGAGAAGAACTCAAGGTCTGAACCTCGCTAGCCTGAAGCTAAGCTCTGCCGCTGTTAAAGCTCTCTGCTGAACCCTCTGTCTCTGGACCCAACTGGTTCCCTCTCTCCACCGCTCAGTCTGAACCTCATCAGGTACAAATCTGAATCAAGACTCAGTCAAGACTTCACTCCTACCTGGCTAACCAAACAATCCCTCTCTGCAGATTCTCTGTGAAACCAGTCCCCGACCAGTACCAGAACCAGTGCATTCTTTTATTCTGTGTGTATTTATCAAATAAACAGTTGAATTTTTACTCTGCTTCCTGTGGTGTTCTGCATATGGGTTTAATCACAGAGACCCATCATGACAGAAATAGGTTTAAATAATCAGTTTTCAACATTTTTCTTTTAGTATAACATTTCTCAAGTGTGGCAGGCTCCTAAAATCATGTAATAAACTGTTGATCATTGATTAAGAGGATTGCTTTTTAACTGAGAAATAAATGTACACTGAAAATGAAATAATGCAACTGTTTTTTGGCATCTACTTAATCCTATTTGGTTACTTTAACACAGTTGTTTTATGTCCTACCTGCTATCATGAAAAAATTGTGGTTAACCAAATATTGTTAGGATTAAGTGTTAAAAAAGTTTTTTTGTTTGTGTTTTTATTACAAATATATACAGTATTTAAGCACTGTATTTTTCTTTAACCCCCTGAGTCAATACTTTGCTGAATCCCCTATTTACTTCATTTATAGCAGCAGATTTTGTGTAATATCTAATATGTCGTATTGTTGCACATTCTTTATATAAAACACTTTTTAAATGACTGAAATTGGGATGAATTTGTAGGAGGAGTAATGTAAAGTTAGGGGTTACTGTAAATGTTAAAAACATTCACTCTTACCGGTTAGCTGCAGTAACGTCACAGCAGGAAGCATTTAAGTGCCAGAATGCAGGTAAAATTCAAATTTCTTAGTTTTCTCATATTGCCAGTGATTTTATTTCATTATTTCAAATATAAAGAAAGGTATTGTTTTTTCTTATTTGATTTTTCTTTTAGAAACTAGTCTAAAAAAAAAAAGACAAAAAAAGAGTTGATATAAAGATGTATGTCTTTAAAATACAGAAAATTTAATTGAATCCATTTTCTCTTTTGCAGTTTGAGAAACGCAGCTAAATAAAAAAAAAAAAAACTTCTTTCATATTTTATTTGAGAAAGTAAAAATAGAATTAGTTTAGCAAATAAATAATGTTTGCTGAGATGTCAAGACATTTCTTCGCAAGAGCACCAGTGCTAAGTGATACAGCATAAATACTGGTTTGCTAAGTCTTTGTCTCCTTCATTTACCTCTTTAATTACACAGGGTGTTTTGCATTTCTAAAATATAAATTGTATAATAGTAAAACATCTCATTATTAATACCTATGAATAATAAAAATAGCTAAAAATCACAAAAAAAAACACAAATCTGACTTAAGTTCTATTTTTCATTTCTCTTTTTCACTTCACCAATGGTAAATAGTTTTCCAAATATGCAACTTTAAGAGCTTTCTGGATGCTGTTTAAGATACGATTCATTAAACTAAATCTTCCACTGAATGCTTGAAATGTGGCAAATATCCACAAGCTGAGGGATCTCCTTTAGCTCCACACATCTAGGCGACTATAGCTCTGCATTAATATAGACTCACTGGAATTTGATGGTGGATGTAATGGCAGCCTAATGACGAAGGAAACACATGCATTCAAAAGTGGTTTGCTGCATCTTAGTCACACTGACAGAAAACCACAAGTTAGTAAAAAGAAGATATACAGGTGCTGGTCATAAAATTAGAATATCATGAAAAAGTAGATTGATTTCAGTAATTCCATTTAAAAAGTGAAACTTGTATATTATGTTCATACATTACATACAAACTCATATTTCAGATGTTTATTTTGTTTAATTTTGATGATTACAAATGACAACAAATGAAAATCTCAAATTCATCATATCAGAAAATTAGAATATTGTGAAAAGGTTCAAAATTGATGGCCCCTGGTGCCACACTCTAATCAGCTAATTAACTCAAACCACCTGCAAAAGCCTTTAAATGGTCTTTCAGTCTAGTTCTATAGGCTACACAATCATGGGGAAGACTGCTGACTTGACAGTTGTCCAAAAGACGACCATCGACACCTTGCACAAGGAGGGCAAGACACAAAAGGTCATCGCTAAAGAGGCTGGCTGTTCACAGAGCTCAGTGTCCAAGCACATTAATAGAGAGGCGAAGGGAAGGAAAAGATGTGGTCGAAAAAAGTGTACAAGCAAGAGAGATAACCGCACCCTGGAGAGGATTGTGAAACAAAACCCATTCAAAAATGTGGGGGAGATTCACAAAGAGTGGACTGCAGCTGGAGTGAGTGCTTCAAGAACCACCACACACAGACGTATGAAAGACATGGGTTTCTGCTGTCGCATTCCTTGTGTCAAGCCACTCTTGAACCACAGACAGCGTCAGAAGCGTCTTGCCTGGGCTAAAGAGAAACAGGACTGGACTGCTGGTGAGTGGTCCAAAGTCATGTTCTCTGATGAAAGTAAATTTTGCATTTCCTTTGGAAATCAAGGTCCCAGAGTCTGGAGGAAAAGAAGAGAGGCACTTCATCCACGTTGCTTGAAGTCCAGTGTAAAGTTTCCACAGTCAGTGATGGTTTGGGGTGCCATGTCATCTGCTGGTGTTGGTCCATTGTGTTTTCTGAGGTCCAGGGTCAACGCAGCCACATACCAGGAAGTTTTAGAGCACTTCATGCTTCCTGCAGCTGACCAACTTTTTGGAGATGCAGATTTCATTTTCCAACAGGACTTGGCACCTGCACACAGTGCCAAAGCTACCAGTACCTGGTTGAAGGACCATGGTATCCCTGTTCTTAATTGGCCAGCAAACTCTCCTGACCTTAACCCCATAGAAAATCTATGGGGTATTGTGAAGAAGAAGATGCAATACACCAGACCCAACAATTCAGAAGAGCTAAAAGCCACTATTAGAGCAACCTGGGCTATCATAACACCTGAGCAGTGCCACAGACTGATCGACTCCATGCCACGCCGCATTGCTGCAGTAATACAGGCCAAAGGAGGCCCAACTAAATACTGAGTGCTGTACATGCTCATACTTTTCATGTTCATACTTTTCAGTTGGCCAACATTTCTATAAATCCTTTGTTTTTATTGGTCTTCAGTAATATTCTAATTTTCTGATATGATGAATTTGAGATTTTCATTTGTTGTCATTTGTAATCATCAAAATTAAACAAAATAAACATCTGAAATATATGAGTTTGTATGTAATGTATGAATATAATATACAAGTTTCACTTTTTAAATGGAATTACTGAAATCAATCTACTTTTTCATGATATTCTAATTTTATGACCAGCACCTGTATGTCATTCATTCCACAAGAAAAGGTCATCTTTGAAATAGTTTTGAATATATAAAATTATTTTAGGAAAGTGGCAAAAATTTAATTTCATGTTCACCTATACCCCAGAGCTATGGTAATATACATGGAGTGTCACTGTGTGGCCATTTCCAGTGGAAGGAGGAGGGCGTCCCATTGTCATTTAAGGTTCAAGGTAACTTTATTGATACCTGCAGGTAAATATATTTTGTAGTTTGGAAAACGGGCATCTCAACACTTAAATAAAAAAAAACTATTATAACTCACAACACATACCGAAGACAAGTTAATTTAGTACAACCACACTTTAATAGGTACTTCCAGCGCCTTACTAAACATGGTTAAAAGAAAAATGAAAATGAATAAATAACTAGAAAAAGCTGTTTCGGAGAAACAGCAAAGTGGGAATGCTTTTTTTGCTGAATGTAAAAAGCTGAAATTAACTGCAGAACATATGAAAATGTGATAGGAAGTCATCAGAAACTTCAAACTGCAGAAAACAATTGAATCATCTGAAGATTTTTTTAGGGTAGAATTATTTGGCACTAAAATGGCAGAAAGAAACTCATCTTAAAAGCTGCACAGCCAAACCATACATAATATCAAAAATGTCATTAATGTGTGCACTAGAAGGGTCTTA